AATTAAATATGTCTTTCCCTTACCTGATTTTCTCCAGAATAGCCCTTGTTAGGATGCATCAGTGTAAACCAAAAGGCACTATCCAATGCTGACCCTCATTTATCGTTCAATATTGTCAACTGAAAATTACGTCAAGTACTGTCACGTGTGGAAATATTGTTTTTATTGTGTACGTTGGCTTGGGAGGGTATTAATTTTTTAGAAAAGGTTATATTGGGAAAAACCTGGGCGTAGATTAATATTTGTATAATATTCAATGGCGGCACTCTCGAGAATTTTCCCTCTGAATGAGTCATTTTCTTTTTTTTATGGGTATATAATTTTTAAAATCAAAAGTGTGGTTGAATTTATTGCTATGAATTACTACTATGCCAAGCCAACGTATAGAACTGTATCAAGAAACAAAAGAAAATGGTTGAATCCATCAACACAACAATAAAAACAATATTAGAGAAAACTTGTAAGAAAATATAAGTCCTCCTGTGGGCACCTATTTGTCTAACAAAATTTCCTCGAATATTAAGATCGGTAGATGTAAATAGATAAATATACTGTTTAATAAATAAATAAAAACAGAGCATCTACTCAGATATGGGTATCCATTAAAAAGTTTAAGCAAATAAATTTTAAAAAATATGTGGTATTTAATCCATTTCCTAATACACACACACACACACACACACACACACACACACACACACACACATATATATATATATATATATAGTGTATTGGGTAGCAGATCATTAATCAAACATACATTGTTAAAAATAATAGCAACGAATGTCTATTATGTTTGATCACGAACCGTTCTAAACTCCGTATATTTACTTTCATTTCGGGAGAAAATAAAGACAAAAATTAATCAACATTTGTATATTTTTATTATGCTGTTCCTCGAGCTAAGCTTTCGGCTCACATGAGCCATCTTCTAAGTGCTTATATGGAAATTTAAACAAAGATATTCACCACCAAAGATGGTATTCTATTATGTTGAAACAGAAGGTTGCTATGCGACGATAACGGTCGTGCAATAGAAGACGCAGGTCGTAAATTCATGATGCGGTTCTATGACATCATACCACGCGAGAGAGGGAAATATTAACAACAGACCCATATGTCTAGATGCATTGTAATGTGTTGTGACTATTTTGAAATGTAATTTTGTTGAGTAAAAAGAACCTCCAGATATTGGAGGCCATCTACATTAAAACAAATCAACCCACATTCAACAAAATTATATATATATATATAATATTGAATATATATATATATATATATATATATATATATATATATATATATATATATATAAATATATATATATATATATATATATATATATATATATATATATATATATATATATATATATATAATATTAAATATATATATAATATTTAAAATAGTTAAATATTTAAATTGCTAGCAAGCATCAAATTAATTTCTTCGGGGTTTTTTTTGACATCTAAATTACTATCAAACATTAAAATCTATTTTTTACATAAATTGCTGAAACTTACCAACCATCTCAATATTTAAAAGCCATTTACAATCTTTCTCTTTACTTCCCTCTCCCTCTTCTTTCTTTTTCCTTTTTCATTTTCCTTTTCTCTCTTCTCCCCTCCCATTTCAATATATTACTTCCGTTAAGGTAACCGTCTAAATAGGTCATGGTCTGGTCACTCCTCCTCCCCCAATATAAAGTATACTTGACAGAGATAATAAATTAATCCCTCCCTAAACTCTACCATGTCTCTCTAACAACCCTTATGACACTCTCTGCTAAATAACAAAAACTTACACTACCCATCAATTTTCATTTCATTTTTCGTTTCATTTTTGGAAGTGCTATCTGATGATCTGGAGTCCTTTAAAAGGGCTCTGGTGAAATAAATTATTATAATGGAACCTTAAAGTGGTCTGTTTTTTTTATTTAATATATATATATATATATATATATATATATATATATATATATATATATATATATATATGGGTGGCTGAATATTGCGTGTTTAGCAGCCATCGAGGAAACGCCCGACTGGGAGAATTGTTCTCCTTAGATTTCAGTAAGGTGTTCATCAAAAATGTTAACACTCATATGACATTGTAAAGGTAAAAGGAACAGAACAAATGCTGTGCCACTGATTGGCTTTTTTCTGGGAGGATGTTAAATCCGGGGCAATAAAAGAATTGGAATGACCATAGACGCTTTCCAAAAGCTAGAGTATTATGGGAAAGGAAGATTTGGTTGGTTTCAAAAAAAGAGTACTGAACGATATTCAGTCACCCTCCCACGAGGGCGTCATGTGGCACAAGGCCTTTTTAACGTGGGAACTCCGAGCCCTTGGGCTCGGCCAAAAATATGCCCATTGAACCCTTATAAACGGGTTCAGGGTCGGTTTACCTCCCCGAAAGAGATTCCGCTCTTCGGCGTAGCCTCCTTCAGGTTCCTCCCGGCCAGAAGGCAGAGAGTTCAACCGATCAGCCGGTCGCCCGACTTCGGACTGAACTGCTACGTCATATCGGTCCTCCTTTACGGTAGCGAATGTTGGACGGTCTCCTCAAAGATGAAGAAGAAACTCGAAGCAATGGAGGTATGGTTCTACAGAAGGATGCTGAGGATACCATGGAACAAGCATGAAGCAACGATGAGGTTTGGGATGCAAACAAAGAGGAAGCTTATACCTAACATCAAGAAGAGGTAGCTGAAATTTCTAGGATACATAATGAGAAAGAAGGGCTTAGAGAATCTGATACTCACAGGGTGAATAGAGGGAGAGAGAGACAAGGGAAAGCAACGCATGACATACCCAAAAGGTAGATGACAAGTGGATGACAGAATATGGTTTGGGGGAAAATAGCAAAAAGACAAAACATATTGAGAACTACAAGGGCTAGGGAGAAGTGGAGAGCCATGATCTCCTACGTCTTGAAGGGACACGGCAGATAAAAGAAGAAGAACAAAGTTACAAAGGCTGCTGAAAGCTACAAGTGTTCTGTAGTACCATGGTCGCCCATGTGCTGACTTCACAAGACACATAAAAACAGACTAAACGTCTTCGATCTTTACTGCGTAATATATATATATATATATATATATATATATATATATATATAAAGGCAGGATATATATATGTGTGTGTGTGTGTGTGTGTGTGTGTGTGTGTGTGTGTGTGTGTGTGTGTGTGCAATAAATGCGCGGTCGCAATTTTCGATGGATTTGTGCCAAAATTTACATGCACATGCTCCAAGTTAGCGGGAAGGCCAAGACCGACTTTGCATTTCCCAACTCCCATCGATAGTGGAAATAATCGATTTTTTCATGCTTCTACGGCAGTTTTTTTATGTAGTTTGCGGCTATTTTCTATTGGCCAGAGTGAGAGCCAATAGCTGGCTGCCACGAATAGGCAGGAAGATTCTATTGGTCAGCGTGAGAGCCAACAGGTGACTGACACGAATGTCAGAAAAATTTAAAATCTGCAATGGCTCATTCGCTTGCTTAAACTCAACGTTGATTCTGATTCCGCAGAACTGGGTTGGGTATGAAAAAGCATTTTGTTATTAACATTCTTTTTCATTCGGTTTTCCAGTTCAAGTCCTTTTTTTAAAGAGAGGTCATTTAAAAAAAGATTCATAACGAACTGAGCTTAGAAAAATTCTCGGCTTGAGGCGGTCGAAATCTCTTTAAAAGGCAAGGAAGGGCAAAATTATTTTAAGTCTGAAAGAGAGGAACCCGGGACGAGGCTACGCCTAGTATATATATATATATATATATATATATATATATATATATATAGGGCAGAGTCTTCATTTCTTTTATAATAAGGGGAGTAACACATTATTATTTTATTATAACCAAGAAATACACAAAGGCTTCCATGTTTCAATACTATGATTGTACTTCGATTTGTAACTGGGTTCTACGGGCAATTTTTTGGCCGAGGTCAGACTTACTTTTGTATAAATTTGAAAACCAATTAAACGTCAGATCAAATCAAAATAGATCTAACGGCCCCGCAAGACTAGTTTTGCTTTGTTTTTGCAACCCTCGTGGGGGCATGAAAGATACCAAGTCGAGTCGAGCTGTTTCGAAAAAACCCTCGAAATCAACGAGGGAAAAAAGATTTTCTACAAACTCTCGACAAAAAAATGCCAGATGCTGAGCAAAGAAAAAGATACGGTAACAACCCAACAAAAGAGCTCAATACAACGTAGAGGCTTTCTGCGATCGAAGAGGGTGTATATATATATATATATATATATATATATATATATATATATATATATATATATATATATATATATATATGTGTGTGTGTGTGTGTGTGTGTGTGTGTGTGTGTGTGTCATGGGTCCTTACCTATAACTACAGAATGAACTCTTCCTCGTTCGGGAGCTTCTCGGCTTGACGGTCGAAATCTCTGCTTCTGAGCAGAGAGGAACCTGGATGAGGCTACGCCGAAGGGCAGATTCTGTTTTTACAGTTTCGGGTTCTACGGGCATTTTTGGCCGAGCCTGGCTCGAAAACCCACGTAAAACACGGCTCGGAAAACCCACGTAAAACTCGGCTGATTCTGTTTTTACAGTTTTTGTAGTTTTTTTGGTTGTGCCACATCTTTCCCCCCTTGCCGGGGGGGGCAAGTAAATATCGAATCGAGTCGAGCCGATAGTAGTTCACTCCAAACCAGACTGACAGTCATACTAACACCTTTCACATCTTGTATTATTATTTCGTGTAATATACCTTCGTTATTTCTACTCTTGTGTTCGTGTTGTTCTTCCTTGGTCCTGGACTATAACAATATATATATATGATATAAAAGGCTCAAACACTAATATTCCATGATTATAATTTATTACATTGGAATCGTAATCACGATCCAAATCATCAGACCTACAAATTCAAAAAGCGATATATATATATATATATATATATATATATATATAATCTTTCACAGTAACGATTACTATGTTGGAAGTATTGTTATAATTTTCTAAGCTGTCATGCAAGTTTCTTTGTCTTTCTGTTTTTGAAAGTCGTTAATAAGAAAGTCAGCTCGAATATCATTGACTGATTTTAAATTCACGTCTACATCTGCCTCAGTGTCGTCGTTTTCAGAGAGAATGCTGTAGAGTAGCAGTCCTCTAGGAACGGATGACACAGACATAAATTAGCCCTGCTTCTCCTTTTCATTGTCATTAACAGCGAATGACCATCATGGCTGACGATATCATCTCTATCTGCATTTTTTCGCAATATTTTCTCCATAATAAACTAATATCATCGCAAATATCTTCTTCATCCCTTGCAGCGGCCATTTGTAATGGCCACCATTTACTCAACCATGATAATGATCGGCCACAAATAATTAATTTTCAATTGTCCGTCATTCATTCCATCGGTCACTTCCCAGCGTTATTGTGTTCGGCCATGTTTTAATTTGATTGAGGAGGGAAAAAAAACGAGGAGAGGCAGGTGGATGAAGCGGTGAAATTCTGACAGCTAATCTGATTGCGTAGAATTGGTAAACAAGGAATTATTGGTTCGAAAATACTGAAGTAATAAAATAAAATAAAATAAATGTTGAAAAATCCACAATGAATTAATGAAACTTTTTCTCTTCATTTTTTTTTCTTCCTGAATTCCCCAAAAAAGATTTTTAATTCATTTTTTTTAATAGGACCTGAAATCCATTATACGATTCCCAATTACTAACTTTAATACCGGCTTCATCAAAAACAGAAAAGAGAGAGAAGAATGGTTTGTAGAAATAGAAAGGGAGTAAAGAAGAGGCTGTGAAAGCGAGAGACGACCGATAGAGTGAAGGAGAGAGAAAGAACGGGGCGTAAAAGAGAGATGGAAAAAAGAAATAGAGAGAATGTAAGAGTGACAGTGAGTGAAAGAAAGCGACAATGAAAGCGAGAACAAATAAAAAGGAGAGAGAATAAATGAATGAAAGTGGAATAGAGAGAAGAATGCAAGAGAGAGAGAAAGAAAGCGAGAAGATGTAAAAGGTAGTGAGTGAAAGAGAGAGAATGAAAGAGAATAATACAAAAGGAATAAAAGAAAAATAGTGAAATACATAGAAAAAGGAAGAATGAGGAGGAGAGTAAAGAAGAAGATGAGAGAAAAAAAAGAAAGTGTGAGAAAACAGAGATAGAAAAAGAAAAAAATATAATGATAAGAAACGAAGATAATGAACGATAGCAAAAAAAAAAAGAAAGAAAAAAGAAAAAGAGAGAGTGAAGCCGGAAAGAAAGAGAGTAAAAAAAAAGGTGAGAAAAAGGGACAAGAGAAAGAAGAGGTTTCGTGTGAATAAAAGCGTGAGAGATAGAGCGAGAGAGAAAAAGAAAAGAGAGATAATATGATAGAAAGAGAGATGGGGAAGTGATAGAAAACATGAGAACCGAAGAAAGAAAGATAGAAAGGAAGTGAGGGAATGAAAAAAAAATGTAATAAAACTAGAAACGAGGAGAGTTAGAGATAGATTAAGAGAATGTCGGGGGGAAAAAACGAAACAGTAAAAAGAGAGAGAGAGAGAGAAAGATGGCGAGCTTAAAAGAAAGAGAAATAATGAAAGAAAGAGAGAGGTAGAGAAGAACGAAATATAGTGTGAGAGAGAAAAGAAGGCGTTAAAAATTATACTGAAAAATGTAGAACAGAAAAAAAAATAGTATACAGAGACTATAAACGAAAGAGAGCGTCTGAAAAAAAAGAGACAACAAAAGGAATAACGATTAAAAGTGTAAGGGAGAAAAAGAGAGAAAGCTAAAAGGAGAGAAGAATAAAAGAGCTGGTAAGCAAGACATAGAGAGGGAGTTTGGTGTAAAATCCCCAGTTTAATGCGCTCAGAGAGGCCGTGGACAATTCACATCACAATTGATTTGTCCGTAATTACTAGCATCTCCTTTGCTCACCAGCGTGACACAGATATTAGCCCTTACCCCAGAAATATCAAGTTCGTCGCTACAAATTAGATTTTCTCATTTCGCTTGCATTAGTGATGCTAAATGGTAGATATAATGCCTTTTACGGTGTGTCTCTCACTCTGCACGTGTGTCTCCAAATAAGTATTTACGACGTCGAAAAGAATAGAGTAAGGACGAATACTAATAAAATGTAGAAAATATTCATGACCATTATACAGTAAATGAGAACTTTAAACATCATTTATATATTTATATATATATATATATATATATATATATATATATATATATATATATATATACACATATATATATATATATATATTGAGAGATATTTCGTTGAATAATTTAGACATGTTCTGTCTATATGTTTTCAATTTTTTCATCCTTTCATATTCACAGATAAGCTTTTTAGTGTTGTCATTGAAGTACGAAAGAAAATCGTCGTGTTCATACATATTTCTTTTAATTCCGAGTACTTTCGACATAGCAAAATGTTATCATCCGGGTATTGTTTATTGCATATATAAAAGGTTCAAACACTAATATTCCATGATTATAATTTATAACATTGAAATCGTAATCACGATCCAATTCATCATACCTACAAATTCAAAAAGAAATCGGAATATATATATATATATATATATATATATATATATATATATATATATATATATATATAATAAATTAACTGATTTAAAACTCAGTAAATTTTTAAAATAAGTTACTCGAAAATTCGCTTGAGGATGAAATGAAACTAATGTTTTAATTTAATTACAAAAGTAAATTGAAGCTTTCAGCATCCATTTTTGAAAGATAGTTAATACTATGTAAAGAAACAACCATATTTTAAATCAGTTAATTTATAATATCAATACTCTATAAATTTACATTGACCACTATTTTGTAAAAATAAAAATACCAATAAGAACATCGCATTATATATCTTTCTGTTCTTTTTTATATATATATATATATATATATATATATATATATATATGTATATATATACACAAATACACACACACACACACACACACACATATATATATATATATATATATATATATATATATATATATATACACATTTTTTTCCGATGTCTTTTGAATTTGTAGGAATATTAGTGTTTGAGCCTTTTATATTATATTCTTACTCTGTCCTGGACATTTAGTTCTAACTGGATTCTATTATGTACGTATATATATATATATATATATATATATATATATATATATATATATATATATATATATGTGTGTGTGTGTGTGTGTGTGTGTGTGTGTGTGTGTTGACCCCTAATATTATCAATATCTATCTCTCTTTCTCTCTCTCTCTCTCTCTCTCTCTATATATATATATATATATATATATATATATATATATATATATATATATATATATATTAAAATTTATAATACCACAATAACACAAATATATTATAAAATTACAAATAATAACCACTATAATATAGTATATTTTGGTTATTGGAATTTATTCCGTATACAGCAATCCTATACTTGGATATATATATATATATATATATATATATATATATATATATATATATATATATATATATAACTAGACTCGTTTCGAAAACCCTCTAATTTTTGATTTGCTAATAATCAAATCAATCTCGAGGGAAAAAATGTTTTAAAAAAGAAAGAGCTAGAAACATGAACTTCTGCCGAAAAAAATCGCACAGATGCAGGTCTGAAGCCCAAAGAAAAACCCTGATACGAGTAACAACTAACTAATAAAAGAGCTCAATACAACCGTAGAGCAGACTAATGAATATATATATATATATATATATATATATATATATATATTCATACGCGTTTCATTAAATAATATAGACAAGTGTTGTCTATTTATTTCATGTAAACTCTTTTCATAACGTCTAATAAGTTTAATAACATTATAATTGAACGAAGAAAGAAATTCACAATATTGATCCATATTTTTTTAATACAATCTAAGCTTTCGGCTTACATAAGCCATTATCAAAGATATCAATTGCAACATATTAAGCAATATGCGGACATGACAGTGATATATATATATATATATATATATATATATATATATATATATATATATATATATGCAAAAAATTCAGATAGAGTATATCTGTAAAAGGACAATATGAATAAAGAAAAAAGGAAAACTCAGCCGGTGTGTTTTTTTCTCTATTGGACTTTATCAATGCATATGCAAGTATTTTATTTTGTTTATATGTAAGAGCTATGATATTGTTGATTTTTCAAATTTACATAAACGCTCATAAATATTCATATTCAGGTTAACTGAAATGTGTCGGTAAATTATGGATGCTAAGTGACGTAATTTAATGTCTTATACACAAAAGTGAGTAAATGATCTTGTTGAATATTATTTTCATTTCAATATTTATGTATTATATAATGTTTTTAAATAAAACGATTTTATGAATTTAACCGTTTTCTTTTAAATTTTTAAATTTTTATAGTCATGAATATTGGTTATTGATAGAAGTAATTCTTTCAGAGTTAGAGATATTTGAAACAACCCGGGACGTAGATTTACATTTTGATAAGTTTCCATACCAGCACTCTCAAAAATTTTCAATCTAAATTACTTTCTCTTTTAACAAGTGTTGTGGGACCTTACCCATAATAACATAAGGGACTATTCCATACGTAATAAATACTGCGCCTCAAGAGGAAGCAGGGAGTTCAGTCCGAAGTCGGGCGACCGGCTGACCGGCTGATCGGTTGAACTCTCTACCTTCGGGCGGGGAGGAACCCGAACGAGGCTACGCCGAAGGGCGGAGTCTCTTTCGGGGAGGCAAACCTACCCTGAACCCGTTTATACGGGTTCAAAGGGCATATTTTTGGCCAAGCCCAAGGGCTCGGAGATCCCACGTTAAACCAGCCTTGTGCCACATGATGCCCTCGTGGGGGGGTAACTAAATACTGTTCAGTCTGAAGTCTGGAGTGATGTCCGTCAGGAGTCAATCAGTCAGAGCGAGCGAGTCAGTCAGTCAGTCGAGTCAAATACAGTCCAAAACAGAGTCGCGTTCAGACAATTACTACTAAACCTGATTGTTCGTACTAACACTTTCTACTTCTCTGTATATATTCCTGTTTGTAATATATCTGTGTTATTTCATACCTGTGTTCGAGTTCTTCTTTATTGGTTCTACCTTGGACTATCACCGTGGTACAAGGAACCGGACTATATCAATAAGCATGACATTCTCAGAGTTCAATATAATGGTTGAATTTATTTTCAACTTTTCGACCAACCTGATGAATATTAATGACGTATTTAAATTTTAAGATTTTGAAAAACCAATACATTTTTACTCTTATATATATAAATACTTGTTACAAAATAAAATCCTTGTATTTGACTTGATAAATTACCTCAGAGGATGAAACATTATTTTTTATTTTGTTGACGGGATAGTATAGACTGCAACCCCCTTGATTATTATGTGTGTGACGCACTTGAGCGAGAGACCAACAAAACTATTTGTAACACCAAAGATGAAATGAAGGTAAGCATTATGGTAGCATACGCCAATTTAAACACAATTTAAACCCTCCAGGTGAGATGCAGGAGATTCCAAAGCCATCTGAAGACCGATGTTGAGGCAAATGACGATTTCATTGAATAAAATTACTCTTGAATATGTCAAGATATTTTTTGTTATTTTGGTAAATATATCTATTAAAATGAGATTTCAGTGTTATTTTCATTTTTGCGCAATTAGACGACAATTTATCCATTGCACACTGTATATATAATAGATATTTGCCTAATGTGCTAAGATTTTTCATTTGTGAATTGTTTAATTTCCATGGTTTTGTCTAACTGAAATTTTATTTTCTGGTTAATGTTTTCAATGATAGATATTATAGTTAAAATCTTTATTATAAAATGGAGCTCATTCCTCTAGAACTATCTAGAAAAAAAAAAGAGAGACCTTCTTGTCGCAAGCAAAATAGAGGCTATAAAATTTTATCTTATAGTAAATTTGATATATCCTCAGTTTTTTTTATATTTCTTCGGAAGATATTAATTAGGAAAATGTAGAAAAATGTCCGAAATAGTTTATAATCGCTACTATAATTTGTAATAAATCTTTAAAAAAATTAAAACTGAGTCACAAATGGAACTGAAACTATCAAACAATTAACTAAAGGGATGGCTAAAATTAACAGGTAGTATTCGAATATCAGTTAATACTGTAGTCAAGAAATGTAATAAAACAAAGGAGTAACTTTATAGAATAAGAATGGTGTATTTTCGGAGGCTAAAAAAGAAGTATTTTCGAGGGATAAGAAAAGAGGATTTTTCATCGGATAAAGAACTTGTAATTTGGAGGGTAAAAAAGAATTATTTGCAGAGAATAAGAGGTGTATATTTGAAGGATAAGAAATATTTTTTGGAGTTCAAAAGAGGGTGTATATTTAGAGGATAAGAAAGGTGTATTTTCATCAGATAAAGAAGGCTTAATTTGGAACTATAAAAAAGAATTATTTGCAGAGGATAAGAGAGGTGTGTATTTGAAGGATAAAAAATAATTTTTGGAGGTTAAATGAGGGTGTATATTTAGAGGAAAAGAAAGGTGTATTTTCTTCAGATAAAGAATGTGTAATTTGGTGGGTAAAAAAGAATTATTTGCGGAGGATAAGAGATATGTATATTTGAAGGATAAGAAAAGAATTTTCGGGCTAAAAAGTGGGTGTATACTTAGAGGATTAAAAAGGTGTGCGAGAGAGGAAAAAAACAGAACATTTTCATCGGATAAACGTGTAATTTGGAGAATAAAAAAGAATTATTTGCGGAGGATAACAGAGGTGTATATTTAAAGGATAGGAAAGAATTTTCGGAGGTTAAAAGAAGGTGTATAATTAGAGGATAAGAAAGAACTGTGTTCTGAGAATACAGAAAATGTATATTTCGTGAATAATAAAGGCATATTTTCGAAGGATAAGTAAGTTATATATTTAGAGGATAAAAAGGAGTATTTTCAGAGGATAGGAAGAGTATATATTTAGAGAATTAGAAAGGAATATTTTTAGAGAATATGGAAAGCGTATATTTAGAAAATGAGAAAGGGATATTTACAGAGAATAAGGAAGATGTATATTTGGAAAATGAGAAAGGGATATTTTCAGAGATTAATGAAGATGTATATTTGGAGACTAAGGAAGGTGTATCTTTGGAAAGAAAAAGGAGTATTTCCAGAGGAAAGGATGATGTACATTTGGAGAATAAGAGTATTTTGAGCAGATAAGGTGTAAATTTGAGAATAAGAAAGGAGTATTTTCAGGGGATAGGAAAGCGTATATTTTGTGAATAAAAATGAGTATTTTCAGAGGATAGGAAGGTGTATATTTAGAGAATGAGAAAAGGAGTATTTTGAATGGATAGGTAAGTGTAAACTGGAGAATACGGGAGGAGTATTTTAGAGAATATGAAGGGGCATATTTGGAGAATGAGACAGCAGTATTTTCGGAGTATAAGGAAGTTGTATATATGCAGAATAAGTAGGAATAATTTTGGAGTATAATAAAGATAAGTAAAAGCAATAAAAAGAAAGAAAAAGCAAAACAGAAAACAATGGTGGATACAGAAGGATTCACACGAAAATTAATTAAAAAAAAATAAAGTGTATTAAACAGACCTTAAAGGAGGAGGAGGTTTGGTAGGAAAAAGGATGGGCACGTGTGAAACAAGGACCCAAACGCACGTTGCTATGCTGATATGACCAAACGTATTGTACTTTGAGATGACGTCACCTTCTCACGCGAGCCTCGTTGTCATAATAAACTCTCCATATTGACTCAATCCCGTACGGGCGAAAAATGAAACCGGTTTAAGACTGTTTGACCAACAGATGGACGTTTGGGACTGCCAATTAAATATAAAATGTTTACTCTGCAATGAAATTAGACTTTGAGTAGGGGGTGACGCTCTACGGTCAGATATGATCTCATCGGGTGATGTTTTTTAGTCTAATTCTTTGTTGTTCCTGAAACCTATGTCATATATCCGTGTAAATTTCGGTGTTTTTATCAACTTCGGGAATCATTACAAGCGGGTGCTGAAATGTCTTCGCCTCGAACCCCCCCCCAAAAAAAAATAGAAAAAAGAACTTGATGTTTTAATATTTCTCCTATGGGTTGAACCGAAAACTATTCGGAGCCGAGTTCGAAATCTACTCCATTACATTCGCTTACGGACAAATACACTTAGGAAAGGTAGTAATCAATCTCTTCCCCTATCTATGGGTTAAATATTGGGAGGTGTATCTAGAAAAATCATTGTTGATGCAAGATTCACTCGCAAAACAAAAACTATAATTCTTACAATCCAAAATGTGTTTTGGCTTGATAAACAAAGGGTTGATAAACTGTAAAAAACAAATCAAATAATATGATTATATTGGGGGATCTTTTTCTATTGGGAATCAATAATAAACTTATCCCCCATTTTTTTCTGTGGTTAAGTGATATCTGAATTTCTTTTTGTCACGATAGACACTGCTTTATTCGAAACATTTTTTTTTCCGATTTCTACGCGCCTTTTCAAAAGGATGATTAATCAAGGTACTTCTGACATTAAAATTCTTCAGAAGAATTCTAAAGTCACTTCCAGGCATCCTTTATATTTTTCAAAGTTCTAGAAAACGTCAAAAATTATTTGTGACCTTAAATCTGGATAATTAGTTGGTATCTGCTGAAAACCATGTCGTGCTTACTCCAGGCTCGATACCGAATGGCAGGCACATTATTCCATCCAAATTAATATTGCATTTCTAGAGATATTCAGTATGTATGCTCTTTTCTCCCCACTTGTTTTGCGGCGTCTCTACAATCTCTATGAAGATTGCTCACTTCTCGTGCTATTCAACCCATAGGTGGGGGAAGAAGAGCTGATTTCATATTTCCCCAATAGCGTGGAAGTGAGTGTAACAAACTAACCTGAAATTCGAACTCGTTTCTCCGACTTCACATTGCATGTTGATATCCGTGTGGATAACTGATATTGTTACGAGTAATATATATATATATATATATATATATATATATATATATATATAGCTTACGGCCATAACACATTCAAATACCATATTCAAGCAATGTTGAGCCTGGTCAGATATATATATATATATATATATAATAATCGACTCTCCCGTCGCGTTCGACGTATGAGGGTCAGGCAGATAAGTCCCCAGGAAACCGACATCCCGACACCGGCACATGAGATTTGTTTATAGTGGTGAAGGCCTTGTGCAGGACCAGCCACACTTTTGGAGGGGACGAATACAGAAACCTGGTGCACCGAATGCATGCCACAAGGTTCCCAAACGACCCTCCGCAGGTTTTGAATTCAGAGTTGTCCTTCTCCTAGACCAGTTGCCATCCAAGGCTATAGAACCCAGTCTGTCCTGCTATTTTACCTATAGCTGGAGGGAGATGAAGAGGATACATACCTTTCCCAAGGGTATTAGCCGGCTCTGTGATTCCTCAATCCAAGCCGCTAACCACTGCTCCACCGTGCCTCCTATATGTCTATATTATTTAATGAAACATGTATGAATGAAAGAATGCTGCCTAAATACACACAATATATATATATATATATATATATATACCATCATTGTTAACTATCTGATGAGACGTGTCAAACGTCGAAACAAAATATGCAATTTTGTAGTGGTAACTTGCATGTACCAATGTAACAGTTTATAATAAATGTGGTCTAATCTTGTATTGAGCCCTTTTGTAAATTAGTGTTATAAACGTTTAAATTTATATTCTTTTTGGGGGGTAAATAGCAGGACAGACTGAGTTCTATAGCCTAGGATGGCAAATGGTCTAGGAGAAGGAAAACTCTGAATTCAAAACCTGCGGAGGGTCGTTTGGGGACCTTGTGGCAAGTAGTGAACAAGGTCTCTGTATTCGGCCCTTCAAAAAGTGTGGTTGGTTCTGCACAAATCGTTCACCACTATAATCGAATCATATGTGCTGGTCTCTGGAAATCGACGGGAGAATTCAC